ATATATACTGTATATATATATATATATATATATATATATATATATTAAATAGTTTGTGTACCATTATAATATTACTGTACTTTCACATACTCAAATATAGTATGCTTTAAATACACCCCAAACATACTTAAACTTTATAAGTAACAGTTAAACAAAAAGCAAAAACGACATATAGGATAGGGAAAAAAGTGTAAAAAAGTGTAAAAAATTAGGACCATCTTTATTTCTGCATGGTTTTTTTTTGCAGCTACTGGAGACGTTAATCCTTCCCTTTGTATCGGCGGCAAGTTAATCCTCGTCGTGTCTGACCTAACACCTGACCCACACCACATGAGCTCAATGGCGTACTTGTTTGAAGTTGTTTCCTTAATCCTCAACAGGTTACAGGTTGTGTGTGTGTGTGGGGAGGGGGGGGCGCATAGCAAGGGTGTAGCTCATGACGTGGCCGTGATGATGTGGGTCAGGTGTTAGGTCAGACACGACAAGGATTAACTTGCCGCCGATACAAAGGGATGGATTAACGTCTCCAGTAGCTGCAGATATGGGTGATGAGCAGACCCAAAAGTGCCGCCCCTAAAGTGCACGCCCGAGTAGACCATCACGCCCCTCCGCTAGTAGTGATACAGAAGGAACCCAGGCAGACATTTATTGAATCTGTTTATTTTATTACGAAACTGTAAAAATTATATGAGCTTATGAGTCAACATTACTTAGCCTAGGGATTCAGATGCTTATTTATGTAAAAGTCACAAATTTAAAGAAACTTCCAACTTTGATAATTATATTTTGTATTCATATCTTTCAAATAAAAGTCAATTGTGATCTGGTTTTTCAAGTTTTGATAAAGTTACCATAACCAATTCTACGGGTACACAGAAACTACCGTCAACCCGCTAATGATTGTTACACCTCCTTAACTACCGGTAAAACCACATTCATTAATCTCTATAGTGAAAAATTAACAAGTTAGAAATATATAAAAAAACAGTAAAATTAACAATAGCAAGACGATAACCAACACATAGTGAAGTTTTATAGAACAAAATAATAACAAAAATGAAATATCTTAAAGTTATGATGTGGTGGTTAGCCTATTTAAGTAGTTAAGATTTTCCACTAAATCCACAGTTCCCCTGCCCACCACGCCGTCGGCCCACCATCCCGTCGGCCCACCACCCCATCGGCCTACCACCCCGTCGGCATTAAATACTCTGAAGGCTGCGGCAGGAGGTCAGTACTAATCGTAACCATACAAGGAGAAATGGTACATGACCCGTCGATCTTCAACTGCTGTTATTAATTCACTTGAGTATATTAATATTTTCGTTTTCTTGAATTATTTATATTTGGTTTAACTTGGTAATATATTAATGTAACTGGTGAGTTATTACTGTGACATAATTTATTATACTTGTAATTAATCTCTGTTTATTTCAGACACGTGAGATCTATCTGGAGTGACTTCTGGCCATATTTCAGCGGCGGGATGAATAATTTAGTCCAGCTCGGTGAAAATTTTTTAATTCAGCTTCAGCCATGGCATCATAACCTTCCTACTTAGTTCATGTGGGCACTTGAACAAACCTGGTTTAAGTTGGGAGGTTCTAAATATTTATCTTGTGCTAGTTTAGATATAAAAAATACGTGTTTGTACAATAAACTTTAATATAACCATATACCATTTATCACTTCTCTCCTGGGTCGATTTGTAGTTTAAACCAAATACTACTATAGTTAAACCATCCATATTCTGGGTCGATTTTGGCAATTTTAAAACTTAAACTTCCCTCTGGAATGACTTATGTCCGCTCTACCGGGTTAAACTGCGTCCGCTCTACCCGGTTAAACTGCGTCCGCTCTACCGGGTTAAACTGCGTCCGCTCTACCGGGTTGAACACTGGATAACCTTCCTCCCTCCAAGAAAAGTCGTATGGGCAACTCTTCATGTTGTCTGTAGATGATCCATAATAAGTCTCTAGGTCTATACACCCACTCTGTAGCTTCAAACAATTTGTGGTGAGAAGCTTTCGTTCATCTTAAAACCTGAACAAATAATCTCTACCCTTGAGGTAATATCACTTTGTAATCGGTTCTCTGCCATGGACTTGATACTAAATATAATCTGTCTTGCCAGTGTTAACGGGTAGCGTATCGTTACTCTACTTCCTCAAACCTGCACAGGGAAACTCCAGCCTAGTCCTGTAGTTCATTTTAAATGCTCCATCAATTTTTTAGTTTTTGGATCTCCTGTGTGTCCTCTTCCCTTGATAGTTTTCTAGTTTCCTTCGAATCGGCATGCTCGCGAGTACCTAGCTATCTTGTTCGGGGGGCGCGGAGTCTGACAGTCTTCTGGGGTGGAATCCTAACGTTTCTACGGGGAATTCTACAATATATGGTTCTTAAATTTGTATCGAGAACTACGGTATAATGTATGGTTTGAATGTAACCCCTTTTAATAAATGAATACTTGATGATTGGACTAAAAGTCAAATGAAAATGTAACTATATTTACAAATGCTTACCACTAATAACAGATCATGAACATTACTTTAAGGCAGCCAATATAACAGGCAACAAAATCAATACCAGATTCACGAACAAAAATACAAAAGCTTTAAGAACAGCGACCTTCAACACATCATATTAACAAGCTTGATCATCAGTAAGGTTTACAAAGACAGTTTTTGCTCTACCTAAAGCCCCGTCCACACGATCGAGCAGTGCCCGGCGGGCACGTGCTAAATGCCCGTTATCGGGCAAAATTGGCGGGCAAACCAGCTGAGTGCCCGTGCCCGTCGTTGAGCGAAATCATGGTCCGCCCGCCTGGTGGTTTGCTGCCAGATATGGAGCGACGACTGAGTATTCCAAATGTGATACGTATATGTTTCCCACTCGGTCCAGATGTCCAATGTATAACCAAATAAGCTTATGCAATGTACATTATTGGCGTGACCATAAACGGGAGATTGTTTATGTAATGGGGACATTCGTGTGTGTTCTTCGTTCCTGCCGCTCTCCTCACTCTAGTCCCATAGCTTCTTGTCTATGCATACCATAATTCTAACATTATTCAATGAATTTTTATGTACTACAAATCTCACCTGCAAGTAATCTTCCTTTAGTACTTCATACATGGCTTGACAAGTTGTAGGTATTATGCTACAAACTTTGTTTTGATATCCTCGTTCTATACTGAAGTGACGTGTAGGTGCACCCAGTTGAAAGATATATGAGCGTTGCCTCTAGACGAGCCTCTGCAGATATACTCTCCCTCATATTGGTATCCTGTTTTTTTTTTACATGGTTCCACTTTCGTTAGAAGTTTGTAAAAGGTGTTGGGGTCCATTCTCATGTAATAAGTGAAGTCTTGCTCCTGTCCATCTTGCAGTTCACATAAAATCGTGGCATGACTTCCCAATACTTTCTTCGACCTAACCACTCTTTGGACCATTCCCTTTTCTGCATTTGATTCTTCTTTTTGCACATAGCAGCAATTATTATAGTACACAACGCTATGCTCTTCGCTTTAACTGTCCGGCGATTATTCCTGCTACACACCATGGTGATCGTACCGCACCCGCCACTGCCGACCACTTACTAGCTACCGGCGCCCGACTATGACTGCCGACAATCATCCCCGTGTGTACAACAACACACAGGCTTTGCCCGGTAAACGGGCAAAGCCCGCCGGGCACTGCTCAATCGTGTGGACGGGGCTGAAGAATGCTAATCGAGCGAGAAAACTCCACAGAAATAGGCCAACTCAACTGTTTGGCAATTTTCTCAAATAACAGGAAGGAATTCTCGTCAAAACAAGGTACTAATTTAACGTTTTGGAGCACCAATAGTAGTGGCCAGTGGAGTGTTTGTATTGGATATTTGATGATATCTTAGAAAACCCCTTTCTTTTTCCTCTTTCCAGCTGTTTTATAGCCAATTCATGTGTTCTGAGCCTTCCTATCATTTATTTACAGAATTATAAGTTTTACCAATTCACTAGTACACACAACTCGGCACTAAGCACATTCTTTTTTGTCGCACCTGCGCTGTACTCCACTTTATACCCGTTCACAATCCCCGGAGGTACACGAGTGAAGTGAGAAGAATGGTGGATCATGATCGACTGTTTTAGAACCTTGGCTCTTGCTTCCGCCATGATGAGACCAGCTTCGCCATCTCACGACTCTGTAACAAAAATACCCCGCTATTTCTAGACGTGTTGGCCCCGGCAGTTGTTAATGATATAAAATGGATTAGAATGTAGTTGTATTTCATACATACGATGCCATATATTCCTACAAGTACGGACTGTTTTGAGTCTGGCAGAGATTACTTGATCCTCTTCACCACTGATCGGCTTGTTATCTGCTTGGGCGGTCGGTCACGTCTCTGTTACACACTGTTGGCATGTATTGACTCTGTTACACACTGTTGGCAAGTACTGGCTCTGTTACACAGGCCCAATACACTGCCCAGTGGTACCGCGCTAGTCACTGGTACGCATAATGATTTCGTGTCATTAATCACCACACACACTGCTGGCGCTTATGAAAAGTCTTACACACAGACACACACACACACATATATTCAAACCCTTTTCTATAAAAATACCAACAACGCGACTAAAACCTTCACCCACCCACCCACCCATTAGTGTTTACAAAATACCAACCCTTAGCAGACATGACTCGACTGGATTGAGAGGCTGTGGTGAGCGTGACAACACTAAAATAAGCGTGTGGTGGCTCTAACAACACTAAAATAAGAGTGTGGTGGGTCTGACAACACTAAAATAAGTGTGTGGTGGCTCTAACAACACTAAAATAAGAGTGTGGTGGCTCTGACAACACTAAACTAAGAGTGTGGTGGCTCTAACAACACTAAAATAAGAGTGTGGTGGCTCTAACACTTAAATAAGAGTGTGGTGGCTCTGACAACACTAAAATAAGTGTGTGGTGGCTCTAACAACACTAAAATAAGAGTGTGGTGGCTCTGACAACAACTAAAATAAGTGTGTGGTGGCTCTGACAACACTAAAATAAATGTGGTGGTTCTGACAACACTAAAATAAGTGTGTGGTGGCTCTGACAACACTAAAATAAGAGTGTGGTGGCTCTGACAACAACTAAAATAAGAGTGTGGTGGCTCTGACAACACTAAAATAAGTGTGTGGTGGTTCTGACAACACTAAAATAAGTGTGTGGTGGTTCTGACAACACTAAAATAAGAGTGTGGCAGGAGAAGTTGGATCAAATAATGCCACATGTCAAGGATTATCTTCAAGGTAAACTTTAACACCTAAAGTTACTATCTGACCCCAGGGGCATAGTAGCATTACCTGGGGAACTGCTGGGTCAAACAAAATTAACCTCACACCACATATCTTTAAAACCTAACCTAACCCTGTCTACATACCAGCTTACAGACTACCTCATAGCCAACGGCCCATAGTCTAGGACATGGTTAAAGATATGACGGAACAGAAAGTAATCATATATTCATCTTGGAATTCTCCTTTTTTCCGAGTTCCAAAGAAAGATGGAAGATGGCGACCTGTTATTGACTTTCGACGAGTCAATGAGGCAACCATACCTGATAGGTATCCTAAGCCTGTTCCGAGTGATTTGTTGCAATCCTTGGGAAAAGACAATGCAGTTTTTAGTAACCTCGATCTTCTTAGCGGGTATTGGCAAATTCCTTGACGAGAAATCCCGCGAGGTGATAACATCTAGAACTGCCTTGCCATTCAGACTACATAATGTGCCATTAAACTTTCAACCAATGATTAATACTCTGTTTGCAGGAATGATTGGCAATACAGTTTATGCCTATCTAGATGATCTGATTATTGTAAGCAAAGATGTAAACAGTCATCTTGTCAAATTACGTGAAGTGTTTAAAAAACTTCATAAAGCAGGTTTGTAAATTAAACTCTCTAAATGCGAATTTATCAAAACCAAAGTTTAATTCCTTGGACACGTAGTTGATGGAAACGGCATCCATACTATGGACTGCAAGGTTAAAACAGTTGAACGATTTCCCTGTCCTACAAATGTAGACAAGGTGCGTAGTTTCCTCGGACTTTCCGGCTACTATCGCTCATTCATTCACGGGTACGCTAAGTTAGCCGACCCGCTGACAAACTAACTAAAAGATGCAACATTTGTTTGGAACAATGAACAGGAAAACAGCTTTAATGCATTAAAGGAAACATTGACCAATGCACCAGTATTACCTGATACATTCAACCTCTCACCCTGTGCACCGACGCCTCCGGACAAGGGCTAGGAGCTGTTCTCATGCAGCTAGACACTAGAGGGAAAAACAGAGTAATTGCTTATGTAAGCCGTAAACTTAACTATTTAGTAACTCATCTAGAGGTGTTAGCTGTTGTCTGATCATTAAAGAAATTCAGAGATGTGATATTTGGTCATCAAACAAGAGTCTATACGGATCATGCAGCAGTAAAGGTACGGATCATGCAGCGGTTATTCCAGGTAAAGAACCTCTCTGGGGCAGACTTGCATACTTGACCATTCAAGAATTAGAACCCGCCTTTAAACACTTACCGGGACAAGAGAATGTGGTGCACTGTATCGACACACAGCTCCAGTTATACTAATACAGTGGTCCCTCAGTTAACGAGCACAATTCGTTCTAGAAGGTTGCTCGTTAA